TAGTGAAAAGCAGAATTTAACCACACAACAATCTAACAGGCTAGTGACGGACAGAGGGGGGTCATGTGATGCACAACAGTGAAGGCTACGCTACGATCGAAAAGACCCAATCATCAAGAACTTGTGGGTGTCTGTCATATTTTTCAAACATTTCTGTTTATGCTTGTCCACACTTAAAAGCTGTGCCAAACCAAAACTTCTCAGCAGCTCTACAACTTACCAGTAGTGTGGATACCAGGCATATCCATAGCAGAGTTGATGCATCTTCAAACAAAAATGTAGTATTGTGTATGTAGCCATTGTGACAAATCCACAGATATATCAGCCAACTTTTAGCTCATTATTTTGAGTTTGTGACCCACATTATACCTCATCAGCTTTTTTCATTGAAAAAAGCTTCTATACCAAGAACTGGATACCAAACTGAGTGGTGCACAATTATTTATTCTCTGGAAAAACAGTAATAACTCCCAGGCTTCCACATTATAAGACCCACTGCATATGTGCATTGCTTCTCAAACTGGCCCCACCCAAGCATTCCTCAACACAGACTTTACATTACAATCCTTCATGTGCAGATTTTACTTTTACCAGGCTGTGAGAAAAAAACATTTGTCATAATTCAAAAAGTCAGAAAACAAATAATTGTAATAACTGACCTTGTTCACATTTGGAGTCGTCCTGTGAGTACTGTTCCAGACCTCGTCTTATTTCGGGAGGTCTACCAGGAGTCATGTGGGGCCACAGGGGATTGTTTTGTCATAGTAATGCATTGGCTGTTGAGACAAATTAGCAGCAAGGCCTGAGAGGTGGCACCATTTGGAAAAAAAACAGCACTCATTTTAATGAGGCTAGTCTGTCAGCACAGCGGGGCTTCCAACACATGGGGCCCTTGCACAAAAAATGGGGTCATTATGCAAAACAAAAGTTGAACTAACTCAACTTTTTTCCACACGAAGTCCAACTGGTGTATCGGACAAACAAATTTTATGCAAATGACTTTGTAACATGAAAGCTGTATCTCCCCCCCCCCCCCACATCCTTCTAAAAGATATCTGGAGAACTGTCCATCTTATTGGTTTCATGCGTGGCGTGTGTAATGTTAAGGGCCAAGGGAAGTGCACTGGCAGATTTGGTGCAATTTGGAAACATGGTACATTCAATATTGATCAATTTTTAATAAACAGGCAACCAGCACTCTGTAGCAGCAGCGGCTGGGACTCATAAACATAAGTGTCACTGTCCATCACGAAAGCAGCATGTTCGCAACAACTGTGCGTTCATGGCAACAACAGGCCCATTAGCAACAACAGCAGGGACAAGAGACTTTGTCTATTTAAGTAATGTGCTATTACTGCAGCATCAAATGGTCTTTGGCTTGTTGGAAATGCTGTTAATTAAAAACCCCTAAAAATAAAAAGGAAAACAAAATTTCAATGTTCCTCAGGTTGTGTGTTTCATAGCCAGAATGGGAAGTTTAACACCGTCACACCTCCAAAAACCTCCCACATGACTAATTGGGCCAATTTCTGAGTCAAACCCTGTCCTTCTGTCTCTGCTGTTGTATCTGGGGTGTCTGACACTGTTGGATGACCTGACGGACACTTCAGTGAAACCTAATCCTTTTGTCTCACTGGCACCGGGCTGTGACATTGGCGTCATCGTCACTGACTTTATAGATAATTACTGTAATGGTTACCACTCTACTCAATGCTTACCACTGGGTCAAATCACAGAATGGCCTTCACGCACTTGGCCATGACGCTTGCTCTGATCCTTCACGCGTTTGTGTGCTCAAGTACTCATGAATGACACGCGGCCCTGGTGCCTGATGACATCTCATGGGCCCTTCAGGACAAAGAATAGGTAATCATTGTTAATGTGGTCATATGTACTGGCACTGAACAGGAAAAATAAAGCTGACACTGATGACATGGTGCTAATCTTAAGCTTTTTGTTCTCCCGTTGAAGACGTGGCACATTCTTCAACAAAGATATTTTTGATTTGATTCATGAAATTTAAGTGAATCCGAGCATTGTGAGTGAGTGGCGTGTTGTTGCGGTTTCTCAATTTCTTCGTGCATAGATTTGTTCTGCGTAATCAAATCCGTAAATGCATAGTCAGGTTTATGAATGTTTGTTGGAATCTGCAAATGTGCAATCAAAATCAATTTGTGCAAAGTATATACCGAATACATGAAGCATTTTCACTGTATACATTTAGATATTTTCCAAAATAAAATCCCAAATTTATACCTTGAAATGTCCTTCAATGTAAAAGAAGCTCTAAGCTGATACGGTTTCATTAATAATATATAGTCGTCATAGTTGTCCTAAAGTCAGATTTATAATTGCCTATTAATTATGGACCACTGTTTCAAAAGCGCTCATCGTTAGAATTGGTGGACTTTATTTGAACTAATTAAAAATAATTACATTTCCTGCCTGTATATTAATTGTTTGCAGAAGATTTTGGCAGGAATTATTTATTCAATGTTTTTCCAGCAATCCAAAATCAATGTATTGAGTAATAAACCTTACACTGCAGAGGTTTTTGATTAATATGGGGGATGTGAGATGTTTTATACCTCATGATCTGCTCAATCTGAACATGAATTATTACTGTATTTTGTGTGTGTGCCCTCACACTAGCTTTGCCAAGATCTACTCAGTTTGATAAATTGTTAAGAGTATGATGTGCTCAGTTACAAATAACATAGTGATACTTTCATATTGCAGCAAGTGCCTTTGGAGGCATTTGCTAATCCTGCATGCCAGCCCACTCTAACTACAGTGGATGGATGTAGTCCAAAATGTAGTTGTGGTGGGTTTGATCCTGGAGAAGTGCTTCAACAAGGCTAAAAACTGTGAGGGTTACTGTTGAGTGGTGGTATACTGGTTGTATAACTGCTGGGGTCCACAGCCGCAGGAGAATTGTAGCAAAGGTCACATGTAAAATGACAACCTGAGTCCTAACTGATGGCTTGTCTGCTTTTGCAACTCTTGCTACAAAATACTAGTATCTATGGACACATGTTGTTGAGGCTGCATGTCAGTCCCCCTCCTCTGGGTGTGATAACCTTTACTTGCTTACGGTGTTTTTGGATATGCAAATGAAGATTTACTGATCCGATTGGCTCCCACTGGAGAGGTTAGCCCCAGCCCTCAGTTCCTGCCTCTCGTCTGGCTAGCCCGGGTTCGTGATTGGAGCAGTCCCAGTGCGGCGGGCCAATCAACAACCACCACATGAACCAGCACCTTCAAAAGCCTGTGAAGCTCGTCAGTCATGGCGACTGAATGTCCAGAATGCCTTGCTGTGCCTCTCGCTACTAAATGTACCTGTTGTTTGAATGTGACCTTGTACTTTAGAGATAAGGCACTCGTAATTGTGGAACTGGGCCCAATAGTTAATACTGATTTACACTGACAGACATACACATACTATCACTCAGAATTCTTTTGTTTAGCACATTAGTTAGGGGTGCTGTGTCTGACTATTTTTTGGGGGGGTTTATTACATCAGTAATAGTGAGTTTTTTTTGTTTTTTCCATTCTGGTTAGAATTATAGCTCACAATTAAGATTCCTCTTTTGGTTACATTCCTTTTTTATTGAAGCAGCAGAGACTTTCCCTTTGTTTGCCTCACCTCCTTTTGATGTAGAATTCATTCAAAATTCTTTTCAATAAATAACTTCTGGTGGTTTATGTCTCTACTCTTTTCCCTCTCACGAGCTGGGTCTCAACACGTGTTCTAATATATGTGCACATTTAATGATTTGTCTGCGCATTGACAATTCGGAATGTTGATTTAAAAACTTTTTTACCCATCTCTTTTACACCAACCTGAGCACAGAGTGAATACATTAGATTCCTGATTCAAAAACCTTAATACATGTTAAGAGATCAATGTATCTGACTATGTTCAACTCCACTCTCACATCTGTACATTTTCTACAATAATGGCTGTTTGCTAAAACTTCACATCATATTATTGAGTGTGGGAAGCAATTTGAACAGCATGGTGCAAAGTTTATTACATATAACTCCTTATACCGTGCAAAAAAAAGGCACAGTCCATGTTCCACTGATGATAATAACTGTCGAGTGTATTGGTGATTAGGAGCTTTTAATCAGGTAATCGACCTCAGCTGATTTCTTTACAGTTTAATTTATTTGTTATGTTCTTCATGTGATGCTGCTCCTCTCAGCTGCCATATTGTATTACCAGACACTGTTCTCTCGCCTGTCTCCTCCACTGGTCTCTTCAGAGCTGAGCAAAGACACCATTAGGACGCTCAATACCTCGCTGGAGCTTCTATTCTATCATGACCTACATTCACGCACTTTAAACAAAGGGGAGGTGGGCACTTAAGATGGGTAACGTTATGTGTCCATCTCAGGCAAGAAGGAAAAACAGCACAATTCCATTAGAGTACTTGAATATTAACCAAATACATTATAGTAACGCTTACTGTAAATCTATGTAACTTAAAGTACATATACACAGTTTCCGGGGGGCTGCAACACAATACATATTATATACACAGATGCTTTGCTATAAATATATGGATACACATATACACTGTGATTAAACTTCATGAGATAGCTAATGTATATATTGTGGATTACTGGACAGATTTGGTCAGGTAAGGACATTCACAGTCCTCATGAGGAGGTTTTCTGTTCTTTGCTTGGGTATAAGAGTATCTCTAGTCTGTGTGTGTGTGTCTGAGCGTATGTTATTGTTCTGCAGCTGGGTGTGGCTCACTTACGTCTGCCGCTTCCTCCACATCATCCAATCACCTGCCATTCATCTCGACATCCCCACCAAAACAGTTTTAAAAGCCCACTTCTCATCTCCAGTCTTCGCCAGATTGTTGTCGATCAGTCATCAGTAATGCTACAGCAAAACTCTAGATTTAATACATTTACTTTTTTATCCACTGAGTTTTTGGACTGTATTTTAACGTATTGTGCTGTGACCTGTTCCACAGTTTCAGCCTAAGCCTCCTGTTTTCCTGAACTCCCCTGGATTTCATTCGCTGTGTCCTACCTCCTTGATGCTGTGTCAAACTCCACAGATCATGTCTGGAAAACAGTTATAGGGAGGTATGTAATTCTGTCATCCCGCCATATCTGCCATATTTATACTCTATATCGTCTAGATTTGCCACTGCCTGTTTATATCTTTTAATTACTTATATTTTTTAAATTTTATATTTCATGTTTAAGGCTGTTTGTACCGGGGAAAAGAGGGAAACGCTATTTTAATTCTCTGTATGTCCTGCACATATGGCATTATTGATAATAAAGTTGACTTGACTTGACTTGTATAGGGGGTGCAGTTGAAGATCTTGAGCTGATATTCCCAATATTCCTGCCTCTGCATCCTTTTCCATGGCACTCCAAATCCACTCCCTCTTCCACATTCTCTTGAGGCTGCAGTTTGTTTCGTGAGCTAGATGATATTGCATGTAAGAATAATAAACAAGAACCAAGTCTTTTTGAAATATAAAGTAGAACAGACATTTCAATTGACTCAACTGTTAGTTAAATTGTTTTCAGAACAATGCTGATTCAGTAAGTCAAGCCTAAACTATAAAGCTGACTTACCTTCAGGGTATAACATATGGCAGCAAGAAAGATATTACTTTCTCATATTTCCACTATCTGACAGTTCCACCCGCGGACCCACTCGGCAGATTTTTATACTTTTGCGTTCAACAAAAGCACCTTAAATCTCTTCTTGCGTTCATCAGCTATGAGGAAAAGAAACACTTACTTTAAAACCATTTATTCATGTTTATGACACTTTATTATACAGATTCTAAGGAACAGTGGGGAGCTTCACAAGCCTTGCCTTCCAGCTTGGAAAGACCACAGTTGCTTGAGTCTGTCTGTTCACATGACCTGCAGAGGAAATGAAAGGCAGCTGACAGCAACTCAATTTCCAAATGAAGAGATGGGCACAGCCTTTCCAAAAGGCCTAGGTGCCATTGATGGCAAACATGTGACTATAGTGGCATCTAAAAGATCTGGAAGACAGATACAGCTCTACCAGGGTCATGGGTACAGGGTCCCATGCCGTACACCAAGGTGGGTGCATTCCCTCTGAAGACCTGAGTTGGAACAGAGGAACCTGAAGATGCATATGAGGTGTGGGAAAAGTTTTTCTTCACCTGCCCCTGGCGGGACAGAATGATGTGGGTCATAATATATATAACAACAGACTGCAGGATTTCTGTGAAGTGACTAGGACTGATTTGGTATGGATATGACAATGTTAATATTACATCACAACAATTACATTTAAAGTAGAGCAGCTTTCTGCTTTTTGGTTCATGTAAAACCTGTTAATAAGGGTTCAAATAAATAAGGCATTATCAGTTTATTCATAGAATCCATGAAATGTTGAAGTTAGGAAATTAACATAGAATAACCCAAAAAAAGTGTGTTCTACCCTCAATCTACATTTACTTGAGGAACTTGTTGTTGAGGAGGAGATTTCTTTTTTCATTTGACATGACAAGTACAGTTTCCATTCTAAACATACCAGTTTTTTTACATGCTGGAAAGACAGGCGACTGTGGTGTGTACCTGAGCTCTGCAATTGAAAGAGGAATGAAGGTGGCAGCTGGAGCAGGTTTATTTCTGACCTGCAGTTATTGAGCGACTGCAAGTAAAGACTGACTGCCAAACCCTGAAGGCCACAATGATCTATGACAGACACAGATTTCTGGATTTATCAAAAAAAACAACAACTTTGAAATGGGTACATGAATGGTGGCAAATATTTGTTTGTTACATATTTGACTCTATAAGAGCAGCGCGGCTCACATATGCATGAGATGCGCCTGAGACATGCAGCTTATGCAGGCAGTGTGGCAGCTCTCGCTGATAACATGGGCACGGTAATGAAAAGCAAGATGTTCTGTGACGCACGAGCGCTGCTGATGTATCCAGTGTGGTCTGTGTTATCCTTTTTCTCACCCTGTCCCTCCACTGACTGAGCTCCCTCTACCTCAAATCTCTATTCTGTGTTTGTATCTGCAATCCACTATCTTAAAGGTACAGTGTGTAGAATTTAGTGATATGTAGTGTTGAAGTTGCATGTTGCAGCTGAACACCCCTCACCTCACCCTCTCCTTCCAAACATGAAAAAGAACCTGTGGCAGCTTCAGTTGTCATAAAAACTCAAAAGGTGTTTAGTTTGTCCAGTCTGGACTAATGTAAAAAACATGGTGGCCTCCGTAGAGAGGACCCCGTCGAAGTATTTAATTATAAAGGACCTTATCTGGGGTAAAGAAAACTACAATTCATACAATTATGATGTAACAAACTAGTGAAAACATCAAGAACGTTATTCTACATTAAATGTCCTTTAAACCAAACACTTAACATTCTTTATGATGTTAACGACTCTTTGTACCTCTGAATGACAAGCTAGTATAAATTAACTTTAACTTTCATGGTCAAGAACTTTGACCATGGACAATAAAATGTATTCAATTTCCATCAGTTTATTTGTGGATGATCATGGTTCTCTGGAATATCTTGACCATGCTTCCGCCAAAACCATCATGCCAACAGAAGGCCGACGACAAATCAGAGTCTCTGGCTCCAGTTTGAGGTACAACAACCAAACCCAAATGCCAAGGAACATGATTCAGAAATACAGAAGAACGCCCTGAATGAAGGTTGTGTTTAGCAGCTAGTTAGTAGACAAGATATCAAGTAGCGGACATCTGTTTAAACAAAAGGATAAAAGTAATCAAAGTCATTATATATATAGATATATTACTATATCTTAAGATGCATCTCTAATGAGTCACAAGTCAATTAAAGAAGTTTTGGGCAGATGGTACAAAAAGAGAAGAAGCCACTGGCTTGGCTGCGGCAGTGTCTCTGGCCAAGTGTCAGGGGATACGAGGTGTGTGGTTTCATCTGGGCCGGGTCTAGCAGTTTCTAAACACTAATGAAATTAAGAAGGACATCAGGTGAGAATTAAGGATGACATTGGTACAGGTTTGTCTTTGTTTTTTAAGGGTTGCACCGACCTTAATTAATCACTGTTTTAATGTACCTCCCAGCGGGCATGCTATGTGACCCGAATCAAACACGCCCACAATGTTGCGGGACCAACAGGTGTTTGCAGGGTCTGGCCAACATGCTCACGTCGCACCCACCTGCAGCGATCGCTTGAACCCTTCCTCCAGCGAGGTGTGAAGCCTCTCTGCTGCTGCGACGGAGCACTCACAGCTCAGAATGTTTCAGACCTCCGAGACGCACAATATAGGACAGAAAGGCAGAGTGGACACTGAGAGTAAATTGGCTCAGGGGGAAACCTAGAAACTGCCACTTTTTACTTTTGTAAAACAACAATTACACGAGTAATTTAACTTTTACCTGACCCAAATGTTCCAGTACTCTTTCCATCCTGGCTTCTCGTTTGATGCCACAAAAGGTAAATGGATAGACTCATAGCATAACAGGTAACATTTACCCATTCACAACCAAAGTCTTTACACAGGAATTTCTATGTCACATTCACACTATGAGCAAACTGTCAAGATAATAAGTGGTTCAGTGTCAACACCTGGCTTTCCAGGCTTTTTTTCATTGCAGCCAGCCACACAGTTATTTTGAACTTAAGTATGGGCTGTTTCACTTTCACTACCACAAGGAATATATATGTCTACTCCAAACACAATTTGAGAGAGGCATGTCTATTGTGCTGGCTCATACACTTATCTCATGCACACAAATACATTAATAAAAAACATGTGAACAAATAATATATTTGAAACTGGGAACCATATCTTGTGTGAACGCAATAGCATTTTCATGGCTCAGTCTAGTAAATCACGGTTTTAATGTGCCTCTCTATGACCATTGAAGGTCATGATAATTTGCAATGTTAGGCAAGACACTAAACTGTTTGCTGATCTAAATGGATCATCCATGAGTCCTGGGACGACATCACGACTACTTTTATCTGCCACTGAGAGGAATCAGTTCCATAAGGCATTAGCATATGGCACCAGTTAATGCTATGACTCTCTCCTTCGCTCCCGTTCCATTTATTTGCTGTATTGAGTAAACAATCCTTGGCGTCTGGCTGCCCTGTGTGATGGAAATCAGCTCTCACTTCATGTGATGAAAAGTGACAAATAGATTTGAAAGGTTTCTATTCCTGTTAAGTGCTTTATAGGACGCAGTGAGAATCCTGATTCTAATAAATCTGCTTTCCATATGCAAACCAGCCGCAAAAACCAAGTCCTCAATTTGGCATCAGCTCTCATTTAGCTTAATGGCCAGCCATTAACAAAACCAATCACCCCCCTCCTGGGTCTCCATTTGCAGTGTTTCTTTTTCAGTTATTAGAGCAAATGGAATCATATACACACACAGCAACGTACACTTACGGACTTTACTTACCACACAGCTCTGTATTTGTTGTGGCACCAGATGGCAGCTTGATACCAGCACTTAGTCTGGGGTGAGAAACAAGAGGAATTTATCGCACGCCTCAGCACCAGTACAATACATCTTAATGCATTTAAACAACGCTGCACCTTGGAGATGGTGCACTGAACAGCCATGCAAAGGAGGCCATCATGAATAAATGTATTTTTAAGGCAACCTTAAAGACATTATCATGCAGCAAGACTGCTGTGTGGAAATAGCTTCTGTCCTTACCACTACTTTAAAAGGGTTGCAGAAATGAACAAGATAGTGGCTCTGGGTGGCTAAATTGTGCTATATGACAGCTATGCATATTGTTTTTTTAAACAGGATGTTATTGCATTCTGCCTTACACATATATTGCATACACTCTGAAACGTATTCTCTCTATTCTCTAGTTTCAGCTGATCTCGCATCCGAGGATCAGAATGAAGTTTTTGTTTGAACTGACTCGTCGTCATTTATTATAAGCTTGAACAACTGAGCAGTGTCTGGCAGTATGCACTCGCTTTACAGATTTCATAAGATGATGTATCAAGGAAGACTCAGCTCAGGAGTTAGATGGCAGCAGTTGTGCAGTCTTTCTGGGTTGAAGTGCAATAGACTAATAATTAGGTTCTCCTCTCTGTGTCTGTGTGTTGTTCTATTTTTGTTTTAAAGGAATTAAGTGATTTATTTTTATTTGCAATATGTTATATGTGATCAGTCTTAATTTGAGTTTTTATTCTTTAAATTTAATTTGGATTATGATTGTATATAAGTTTTGGTATAAATGGTTGTACTTGTTGTGTGCTTACATTATATTACACTACATGTCATCTGGCAGACGCTTTTATCTAAAGTGACTTACAATTAATGCATTCAACATCTATGAGGGGCCATTTTAGGTGTTCCGTATCTTGCCCAAGGACACTCCGGCATGCAGATGGGGAAGACAGAGGATCGCACTGCTGATGTTCAAGTTAGAGGACAACCGCTCTACCCCTCAGCCGCCCGCTGCTTAAGCTCACACTGTTCTTGTATGAACTGTGGTTCCAAACGACACAGATTGTCCTCTTCAAAATGCCGGTGGTGCACTCTCATCAGACAGGTACGGGATGAACTTTGAGAGGCAGTGCATCATGCCCATGAACTTCATCAGCACAACTTTGTCATGTGGTGTTGGCACGGCCATTATTACTCCGACCTTTTCTTGGTCTGGCTTCAGGCCCGTTGCACAATGATTTCATTATATTGTTTCCCTGACAGCTTGAGATTGATGATCCTTATTGTGTGGAGTAGCTGCCTCTGTCTTTTATCATGTTATTGTTTGTCACCTGAATGTCATCCACAATGCATGACCTCGCCAAATCTCTGCAGCTGATGAGGAACCGAAGGGAAGTCATTTATATCAGCACCGACC